GCCACGCCCCACTATTTTAGGGGCCTCGTTTCACTCACCACCTCACCTTTAGGTGGTGAGTGAAACGAGGCCCCTAAAATAGTGGGGCGTGGCACGAGTACTGGGTATCCGTGGACATTTTAACACCTTACCTTGGAATGCGGGCCACCTGAAGTTCTAGCAAACAAGAAAAGCTTTGTAGGGTAATGTCACCGGGATTGAAGGGAAGGGATATGTGTTTTAATTATAAGTTCAAATATCACTCAACCAAGCATCTAATTCGCCGGTCTGGTGGTCTAGTGGTATGATTCCTCTTTCGGGCTACACCCCCAGTTCGTTGGAATTGAATATAGAGGAGGTCCCGGGTTCAATCCCCGGCCAGACCCCGTACGTGTGTTTCTTTCATTTTTTTTTGCTTGCAGTTAATGCTCAATCAACCTTGATTAATTTATGTGATAAATGAGTGTTTTGTGACTCGGTCGCGAGATTGTGCAAATTTGGACGGGCAAGTGCTGCCGGGACTCTTTCTGGTCGGTTTGAATACGGAGCAGTGCCAGCAACATGAATTCGACCTCGACGCTGGATGAAGCGACAGGTAAGCTCTTTCCGGTAGTTAGGGGTTGGCGTGATGGTCCGCAGATGGCAGGAGCTCCTTCCTTCGTCATAGCTACCCGAACTCTGGGTCCGCGATAGCCACGACTGACGTTTGGAAATGCACAAGGGTCTTATGAATCGAGCCATGGTGCATAATTCGCGATTCGTCTTTGCATATGTATAAGTTCGTTGTCGCTAACGACTGGACAGTTTTTTAACCACGGCGGGTAAAAAAATACATTCCCAAAAATTATGGGTCTCCATTGCTCTTGAACTTACCTGGCGCCGAGACAGCTGACGTGCGGAAGCCCCACGTCAGCCAGCGAACTGGGTGCGATCTCGCCTCGTGAATCTGAATCACTTCTTATTCACATTCACATTTCCTAGCCAGCGTCGACTATCCGACATCTATTCGCGGCTCTGCCAACATGCTCCCGTCACAAGAATGATACATCACCATGGTGTTTATCGGCTTTCTCTCTTCCGACAAGGCCTCGGCTAGTCGGTCGAAGCCTACCCAGGAGACTGAGTTGCTGCCAGAATACATCGTCGACGAAGCCCAGCTTCCGTGCGTACCTCCGCAACGGCCAAATCTGCGAGAACTCAACTCGAGCCTTGAGGCGCTTGCCGCCGTGTTTCCCGACATTCAAATCGAGGTCTTTAGGGAATTGCTGTCCAACTTTGACGGCGAGTCGAGACTGGCTTTGGTGGCAAATGCACTGCTCAAGAATCGAGTCGATTGGGTTAAGGGCAGGTGGAAGGTTGTGGACAAGGAGGAAGCTGCCGCCGCTACACTGCCCAAGAGTGACATGTTTCGGAGCCAAGAATACATACAGGCCGTGACGACTCTGGCCGTACACGAGTTCCGCGGGCTCTCCAAGTCTACCGTCAACGCCGTGCTAGCAGAGTCCAACCACTCCTACCTGGACGCCCGACGGACGCTGGTTACACTGTCTTCGAAATCCTGGCGCTTTACCATACAGTCACTGCTCTTGCGACGCAAACACCTGACGACGGGGGAGGCGGAAAATCACCCCCTGGTGGTATGGCGATCAACCGGGCAGGGTTCCATCACGCCCGCCATCAGGACAACGGGAAATGCCGAGCTGGACCGCGAACTATACGACGCACTCATCCGGCCTCTGAAGCAAAAGATGAAGGATGACCGAGAAGTCAAAGACCGAATTTTGGCTGTTTTGCTCAACAATGAAGAAGCAGAAGCGGTGTCCGCGACGCATGAATGTGCCTGTTGTTTCGTCGATTACACTTTTGAAGAGTTCACAAGTTGCAGCAGAGACGGGCACATGATTTGTTACAAATGCGTCCAAAACTCCATCAAGGAAGCCCTGTTTGGCCAAGGATGGCTGAGCAATATCAACACCGACACCGGCACTCTGAAATGCTTAGCGGTCGATGGCGGCGGGTGTACGGGCCACATTTCATCCGACTATATTCATCGAGCATTCATGGAGGAAAAATCGGGGGCAGACATACTTCACAGGTTGGATCAACGACTGGCCGAGCACAGCCTCGTGGCATGCAAAGTCCCACTGATACACTGTCCGTTCTGCAGCTATGCCGAGATCGACGACATCTATCTCCCATCGCGCGAAGCGCGGCTGCGCTTCAAACTCAGAAACATTTACAACCTGGTCGTCATCTCCATTGTAATAAGCGTCTTCATCGTCGTCTCCCCCTTTGCGCTTGTGGCAGCGCTGATTTGCGTCGCCGTCAGCGTAGAGCAGAACGTGTGGCGAGACATTGGCGCGGAGTGGAACAAGGCCGTCCACAGGCACTGCCGGCGGCGCCGAGGCCTTCGATTCTCGTGTCAGAACCCGAAATGCGCCAGAGCCTCCTGCCTGTCGTGCCACAAAGCCTGGACCGACATCCACGTCTGCAACGAATCGTCCCTCGTGGCTCTCCGGACACAGGTCGAGCAGGCCATGAGCATGGCCATCAAGCGCGTATGCCCGCGCTGTAACACATCCTTTGTCAAAAACGCGGGCTGCAACAAACTCACCTGCCCGTGCGGATACAAGATGTGCTACGTGTGCCGCGCAGACTTGAGCGAGGAGGGGTACCGTCATTTCTGCGACCACTTCCGCCCCGATGGCGACCCGCGGCCCTGCACGCAATGCGACAGGTGCAACCTCTGGGAGTCGGAGGATATCGACACAGTGCTACGAGAAGCTCGTGAGGTGGCCGAGAAGAAGTGGCAAGAGACGGAGAAGCGGGAACTGTCTGGCGCCGAAATGGCGTATCTCGAGACGGGTGTGGCATCAAGAAGCGTCAATTCGAGAATCGACCAGCTGTTGACCAGTGGGACCTCGCCGACTCTGTCTGACTTTCTTGATCTTCTTGTCGAAACGATTTACTTTTGACACGACCAATATCACCTCTGAATTTGCATTATTGTAGAGTTTTTCTTTATTGAGCGGAAAGGGTTTTTTCGGGACACGGGATGGCGTTTGCTTGACGGGCTTGGCAATATTGTATTCGGAGTACCGGGCTGTGTTAATCACGGGAAGATGGGAAGTCACACGTACGCACTAGTCCACTACTATAGTTGTAATGATGGCATTTTGCAGCGGTCACTTGATGACATGAAGCAGACAATTAATACATAACAAAATGCGCTACCAATTTGGAACAAGGTCAGGCATAATTCAACACCATCAGTGCACAGCATGCGAAAGGCAAGAAATACATCCAAGTAGATCATTAACAATACAGTCCAAATTCATTATAATACATGACATCCATTGCTTTGCATAATCCTTCCTCCCGATATAGCAATGTTTCAAACGTCCCATTCTTCCTCTTTTTACATAGTCTCCCAACTCAAATCTTGCTGTTATCGCCATCGAGCAGCTCGACGCCCGCGCCACCAATAGCCAGTTTGCCAGTCTCCTTAATCTTAGTCTGGAAGATGACCTTGTTGCCCTCGCGCCACATCTCCGTGACGAGGGTCTGGCCGGGGTCGACGGTACCAGCGAAGCGGACCTTGATGTTCTTGAAGGGGCCAAAGGTCTCGTAGATGGCCTTGCCGGCGACACCGAAGGAGCAGAGACCGTGAAGAATGGGGCGCTTGAAGCCGCCCATCTTGGCAAAGGAGGGATCAATGTGAAGAGGGCTGTCACTACGCATTAGCAGGGTTTTCTTTTATCTGGAATGACAGTATGGGGGGGGGGAATGACGCATACTTGTAGTCGCCGCTGAGACGGTAAATAGCAGCCTGGTTCTCGTCCGTCTTGGACTCGACGACGGCATCGGGAGCACGCTTGGGGATGGCGTGCGGGGCGGTGGCAGCGCCGCGGTCCTGGCCCTTCTTGGGGCCGTCGAAGCCACCGCTGCCGCGGACAAAGGCCGTCATTTCGCTGTAGAAGACGTCCTCGCCAGTCTCCTTGTTGACGGTGGTGAGGGCGGTCTTGACGACGGCGGCGTTGCCCTTGTCAACAACTTCGACGAGCTTGCCGCGGGATTCGAGGGTGCCGCTCGTGGGGAGAGGGAACTTGCGGATCTCGAGGTACTGCTCGCCGTGGAGGAGCATCATTGGCGAGAAGTTGGGGATTATGTTGCCAAAGTCAAAGGGCATTTCGGCGGTGAAGATGGGGATGACGCCAAAGGTCGGGAGCACCTGGAAGTCCTCAGCTCCTTCGCTGTAGATGACAAAGTCAGCACATCTGAGTTCACAAACGAGGGGGCCAAGACGTATATTACGCACAAGACATATTTCAGCTCAGTGTGCTTGGCACCAAGACCCAAGTTGTACAGGATCGAGTCTCGCTCTTCAAACTTGTACTCAACGGGAGGGCCCTCCTTGCCGATGACAGCCTTGATGGCATCGAGGTACTCGTTGCTGGCGGCGGGTTCATCAACCTTTTTAAAACAAGTTCACAAATCAGCAAATAGGTTCTTTGTAATAGGTTTGGAGTTTTGTTTTGTGCTGTGTTCATTTCCAATTACATGTCTAGTCCTATCTATTTTTGTACAAAAGTATCGTCAAGGGTCAACATAAACAAAAAAGAGGACTCTCATACCTTCTCAACAACGTTTCCCATGTTGCCCATAATCTTCATCATAGAATCCTGAGCCTTCTCAGGGTTATCCACACGGTCGTCATCAAAGTTAACAATGTCCTTCCAGTGCTTGACAACCTCCTCAGGGACAAGCTTGACGTTCACGGGGAATCCGTGACCACCGGTTCGCTGCCAGCGAGTCTTTCCACACCAGCCGCTGCCGACCTCGTAAAGCCCACCAGTGGGGTCAGGGCAGCTGTCGCCGCAGAGTGCGAGGACGAGAGGAGCAATGTAGTCGGGCTTGAAGGCCTGGACCATCTCGGGAGGCATGACGGTAGCGGTCATGGCCGTACCGGCGTTGGGGGCGATGGTGTTGACAAAGATGTTGTATTTCTGGCCTTCGATGGCGAGTGCTCGGGAGAAACCGAGAATACCGCATTTCTAACAAGGCCATGTTAGCAAAAAAATTTGGAAAATATGGAAATAAATAAGAAAGGACTTACGGCAGCAGCATAATTGGCTTGGCCAAAGTTGCCATAGATACCGCTGGTAGAGGTGGTGTTGATGACACGACCGTACTTCTGCTTGAGGAAATATGGCCAGGCAGCCTTGGTGACCTTGTAGGTACCACGCAAGTGCACGTTGAATACGGGATCCCAGAGGGAATCGTCCATGTTAGCAAAGGCCTTGTCACGGAGGATGCCAGCATTGTTGACAATGATATCAATGCGGCCAAAGTTGTCAATGGCAGCCTTGACGACAGTGTCACCGTCCTCGGCGGAAGCCTTGACACCGACGGCCTTGCCGCCAGCCTTCTTGATCTCATTGACAACATCATCGGGGTTCATGAGATCGTTGACGACTACGGTAGCGCCATATTTGGCAAAGGCTAAGCAGTAAGCACGGCCGATACCAGCACCACCACCAGTGACCAGCGCAACCTTGCCAGCGAAGTCGATCTTGTCACCCTGCTCGCTGGGGCCCATCTTCATGGACTCCTCAAGCAGAGTCAAGAAGTCGTTGGGGCCAGAGGGGTACTGGGGCTTCTTGGAAAAGTCGACAACCTGATCCCACTTCTTGAGGATGGCACTCGGTGTATAGGAGTCGTCAGCCTTGAGGAGCAGACCATTGGAACGCTCCCATCTCAGCTTGGCGACATGACCGCCTCCGACTTCGAAGATGCCACCGTTCTCAGTGGTGTTGCCGGAGTGAACAAGAACTGCAACCAGGGGAACAACCCACTCAGGCTTGAGCTGCTCAAGAACATCTGGAGGCATAACAGTGGAAGTCATTCGGCTGGCAGCTAAAAAAAAAATTCATATGCGTTAGCTTCAGTAATACGATTTCTTTTTCTTTCTTTCTTTTTTTCCCCCCCCTTGTTCGCAAAGTGAGCCTCGGTACGTACCAATAGGAGCAATAACGTTGCTCATGATGTTGTATTTGGCTCCCTCCTTGGCAAGAGTTTCAGTGAAACCAACCATGGCCAGCTTAGCAGCTGAGTAGTTGGTTTGGCCGAAGTTCCCGAACAGGCCGGCGGCAGAGGCAGTGTTGATGACACGGCCGTACTTTTGCTTTCTGAAATGAGGCCAGGCGGCACGAGCGACCTTGTAGGCGCCCTTGACGTGGACCTTCATGATGAGGTCCCAGTCCTGGTCGGTCATGTTCTTGAAGCTAACATCTCGGAGGATACCGGCGTTGTTGATGACGACATCAACACGGCCAAAGGCCTGGATGGCCGTCTCGATGATCTTGTCGCCATCCTCGACACTGTTGTAATTGGCCGCAGCCTTGCCGCCGGCCTTTTCGATTTCCTCGACAACGACATCGGCAGCCTGCAGGCAGTTGCCCAGGTTAGCATGCAGTCTGCATGTGAAATCTGACCATGGCGTCTGAATCTCACCCTTGTTGAGTTGCCCTCGCCCTGGAATGAACCTCCCAAGTCGTTGACAACGACACTGGCACCTCGCGAAGCGAAGAAGAGGGCATAGGCCTTGCCGAGACCACCGCCAGCGCCGGTGACGACGACGACCTGGCCGTCGAATCTCAATTGTTCGGCCATTGTGTGATGGAATGTGATGTAATGTGGAGGAGATGACAGTCCCCCAGTGCTAGTTTTACCGTGGACGCTTCTTCAACCACAGCAAACGGACAAGGCAAACAGAGAAGAGAGACGGAGAGATGCAAAGGGTATAATAATGAAGATGTTGGAAGGGGAAGATGGGGGAGGGCCAATAAAAAGGAAAGGAGGCCGAGAAGAACGGAGGCCGGGAGAACCAGAGCAGGTGACGTTTTGGCTTCAACCGTCGGCCTCGAGATGCTGCGGATGCTTTGTCTTCGGCAGCAAAGGCGAGTTCCAGTGCCTCGGCTGAAGAAGCTCGGGCGGGTACTGAGCCTACTGAGGGGTGGCAGATGCGGAGGGCGCTAGGCCCGATTGGGAGCCCTTGTGAATCGGTCTAGCTTCACATGTTTGCGCTCGGCAGTTATCCGCGCCTCACCATTCTTTCTCGCCCGCACCTCGCAAGACGACTGGCTTGTTTCTTTTTGAGAGTGCGACCGTGGTCTAGTAGAGACCCTGACGGGCGAGTGCTTCTGTTCATCACAGACCCGGGGGAGGTGCGAGTGTCCCGCTTGAATTCCGGGGGGCCAGGCATTGCCAGACTTTGCCACATTGTCGTGCCGGATTCAATGGATGTGGAGCCGGTCCAAGTGCCCGTCTTGTCATGGTCGTCTGTCACATGGAGAATTTGTTGCCAACTGTTGACGGATCCAATTCCCAGGGTTAGGGTCATTCGTTCCCGACTTCATTTCAGGACCTGCTAAAGCCGACCAAACATTCAATCACCTGTTGCACTTTGCTATTCTTAGCCCAGAAAGGTGGTGATGAGGGAAATTAGTCAATTATATCCTGAACACCGTCGTCTAACCAGAGATTGAAGGCAGCTTCAAATTCCGCTTTGCCTCGAACCATGTCAGCAGCCCTCTCAAAAGGACAGCTTCATTTACCGGTCAAGAATATTGAACAAAAAAATTCAGTTCTACACCAACTTGACAATCTGCAACCTTTCGACAATCAATCTCGTAATGAATGCCCCCAACCACCACGCTGCCCGCAAGCTGCCTTGAGCTCTCCGCCACACATCAATGATTAATCCACCCAGGCAAGACCAGAATTCGTCTGTCAAACAATATCAGCTAGTTCTGCTGCGGCACAGTGCCTCATGTTCCCACTCCGTGGTATGAGTACGTACGTAGCTCATGTACACGACAACTGTCTAAACAACCCCCTTCTCATCTACTTCGGCCTCTTGTTCCAGCGGCAATGTCCGAAAGAGACGCTCAGTAGGGTCAATTGGCTTCGGCCGAAAGTAAGGCTCAGCCATTGCCCAGACGGTAAACGAGAGGGCGGTGACGGAGCCCGCCGCGACCCAGAATATCCAAAACTTGTCCGAGACTTTCCAGACACCACCGTCAGAATTGAAGAATGTCGTACTGAAGATGGCTGAGATGAATGTCGCCGGCAGGAACAGCATCGTCACCGCCGCAATGGTACGCATGGCCGCACTATCGTTCCTAGTGTAGTGGGCGATTTGAACAGACACGTTGGAATCTTCCTGCGATACCTTGTTAAACGCCAGCGTCACTTCGCTCTGCAGTCGAGCGCTGTTCGCCTCCGCTCGGTGCGCGCTGCTCCTCAACATGTGATGGCAGAATGCCAGACGGTTGCGAATATTGCGTGAAGCCATGGAACTAATTCCACTGTGCGATTTGCCATGTAGTTCAAGGAACTCCTCATGGTGCTTCTGGATGCTCTCCACGGATACGGCGCCGACTCTGAGCGTTTCTGAAACGTGTATTACATGTCGCGCGATTTCATGCAGCCACGAGTACCCCGGATCCAGAGACTGCTTGTTCTTCTCCTGCCTGACCCTCGTCTTCTCCACGTCTCGAATGAGCCTGCGTGTTGCCCAGACAGAGGTCTCCTCTAGATCGACCATCTTCTGGATCAATCGTGGGTAGATCCAGAATGGGTCTTTGAGCTCCCCTGGCGTCGGTCGAGGGTCCAGGACGGCTGACGTGAAACTGTTCTTGAGCTCGTCACTGCGTGGATCAAATATGACCAACGCCATGTGGTGAGTAGCTTGGTACCACCTTGCAAACACATTTAATTTGTCCCAATCGTACAAGATTTCTCTGACCTTTTCCTTTTCGTCTCTCTGGTCGTCTTGCCACACCGCCTTGACTTGAAAACGAGCCCATGAATCTAAAGCAGTCAGTTTTATCATACTTTTTTCAATTGCGTCACAAGTGTGGAGTGCTTACTCAAGCCAGATAGCTCCTCCCCAGTTGCGTCTGAGGATTCTGTCAATTCCTCCAGGCCAAAATAGCCGTTGGCGTTCCTGCAGCATTCTTCCCACCAAACCTTTGGCATCAGGAAGCATGAGGTCATGAATGCGCGGCACTGCTCGCAATTACGGATTACATTTGCTTTAGCGACGCTACATCAAGGTTAGATGGAAGTAGAGAAATTGCATCACGAGCATACGTACATGACAGTGACTCCGGGCTTCTCTCCAGGCTTATGATACGCCGCCCCAGAGTTCGTGGTCGCGGGTTTCTCGATGCCACATACGGATGTTTGCAGCCTCGCTACTTCATTGTCGCCTACTCAATTAGACACGCATGTTTTCTTCAAATTTGAGCGACGCGGTACGATACCTTCGTGTAGTTGCAGTATATCTACAATGGAAGAGTGCGAGCAACTGGTTGCCATGTTGTGATACGTCAAGGCAAGTTCCAAGACTCAGCGTTTGTCAATATCCCAAAGAGGTGCTACTCATGAGCCGAGCACCGAGCAAGATGGTCTGTGATTTCAAGCTCGAGAATGGCACGGTAATAAAAGGGAGCACGGGAAAAGTGAGGCTGGATTATGGACCGGGATTGGCACACAGCCCGCAGTCTTCAATCTACGACTCACGAGTCCCGAAAAGGGCATCCAGCCATCTCGAACCGTGAGTTGCACACGACGGGCGCGACCCTGCCACAGTGGCGAAGGCAGGGTGATGGTGTGGTTGACGAGACTTGATTAATCCAGCACTTGTCACCATTGGAGCTTTTGGTTGTCGAACCGTTCACAAGTGCTCACTTCGTCGGGACTCGGGATGGTGCCGGGGGAGCTATGAGGCTATGAGCCAGCGGCTCCAGCCGCATTCGCTCTATTCGCGGCTGATCAAGGCGGCCAATAGTCGTAACAATACATTCTCAACTACTGGTTGAGCTGGCCTGACTAGTACGATCAATATTGATGCCGATCACACTTCCGGCCCAATGCTACAGTACTGAAGCATCAAGCTACACACAGGGTCGCAGCGGGGGCTTAGACGCTGGTTGTAAGAGCCTTGGTCGGGTCTGGTCAAAATGCTGTGAGACACTCGGGCTGGGAAGCATAAATACTACGTAGTAACTCACTACAAAAGTACAGAGTACCCGCGTACGACATGAACAAGATCGCAATTTGCTCAGTCATTGGTTTGGGTGCGGGAAAGTGCTCGCTGTTCTACTAGAAGCAGCCGATGATTTCGTACTCAGCAACCCCCGGGGGGATATACAGTGGGAGGCAAAAAGTATTAACCAGATCAGATATCTGGCTATCGCGCTCCATACTGTAATATATTACAGTAATTTAGTGTATACTTCTCGGTGGGTAGGCCACAGACTGTACGCCACTAATGTCAATACTATTGCAAAGCAACCAGAGACCCTGGTTTGATCGCGGAGAAAACAACTGCCATATCGCAGGGCAAAATGGAGGCCATTTACAGTAGAGTGCAACAAAGCTAGTTGGTAGTAGCAGGGCTTGAGGAGAGCCAGGTTCTGCATTAGCCCACAGGTTGATAGGAGAACAACGAAAGGCGAATTTGGCCACTTAGTTGCTGAAGCGCAAAGGAGCAATTCCAATTTTGATAACCCAGCGCAGTTGGTGAAGGAATGCCTCCCAAGGTTGGTCACAGGAGCAGACAGGCTCTCCTTGTACAGGCTAAAACCAAAAGTGACACGTCCATCTGATAACCTGCCCTCTCAGTCGCAAGCCGATTGCGAGTACCTTTGGAGTCGTCCGCGACCGTCCGCGTCTTTCAATCAACTGTGGAGGCCGTGGAGTAACGACCTCTGAGAACTCGGAGCGTTCAGCGAGGCGGAAAATCTGGCGAGACCAGACCTTACTGTCCCCGATCTTCTCTCGATGAAGATGCTGCCGACACCTGGGTCACCAAGATATCGGATGCTGCACCAGCTCCTCAAAGAGTCTCAGAGTCGATAAATCTAGAGTTTTAGCTCGCCATTGTCGTCCGAACAGTTCAAGCTCAAATGCCAGGCTTGGACCCTGAAAGAGCCCGCGTCCCCCACGTGCCATGACGACACGGACGGATGGAGCTCAGGTGGGAACAGCAAGTGGGAATCAGAAAATCCAGTCGGATCACATGGCGCGGTGACTGGTTCCTGTTTGAGCGCGGTCGATGGTTTGCAGCCGGCTCAGTCTTGAGAATGACAAAGTGACACAAGAGAGAGACTTGTCGGCTCAAAAATTTGCCCGATGATCTGACGGACAGCGAGGCTGCGACAAAAGTTGAAAGAGTCTGGTCTGGTGCAGGCCTCAATTGATGGATGCCCCACTCTCAAGTGCCAGGGGCAGTCAGTGATGAGTAAGCACAATAGAGCGTGGATGTGGGTCTTGTGTCATGTCACAGGTGGAGGCACTTTTTATATCAATGAAGCCTTGCCTGCACCGCCGTGCCTGGTTCAAACATCACCAGGGTCTCGTCATTTTCTTTGCTTCGCTTTTTTATTTCTTTGTTCCATCCGCCGTGGCGTCGTGCATTGTCACACTTTGTGCTTGCGCACTGAACCCCAGAGTTCCTGGTTGGGTCGGGGTTGTGCTGCCCCGTCTCCAAATCGACGAAACACCAAGTGTCTAACTCCGTAGAGCGCGGGGCTTTACAGATGAAATCGCCAAGCCGTCACAATCACCACCCTCCGGCTTTGAGCTGCATCTGTTCGCCAGCAACCTCGCCACCCACGCCCGTTGCTTTGTCCCGGTGGTGTATCAGTCGGCTGGACCTCCTGTCTGGCAGTCCTTTTGCCCAACCCACCGCTGCTTTGATGCAGCTTGCTGCGTCAAACGTGCATCGCCTTGTTGCCTCCTGGATGCACTGACCCGGGCCTGAGCTCTTCGTCCCTTGGTGACTTGGATTCGACCATCAGGACACCCTGACTGCAAGCGCGGCCGCGACAGCTTTTCGCAACCACCGAGCCATCTTTTTTTTTTTTTTTCCGCACTCGCCCGTGGCCGTCAAGTAGCATCTACGCAAATACGCAGTCTTGCTGCGAGGGCGAGGCACAGCAACTTTGTCCCTTCCGCCTTTGCACTTGATTGTCGCCGGTGGCTGCGGAAGCCCTGCGCTTGCAAGGGAAAAACATTGAATACTATTACTAGTGCGACCCGCCGGCTTGGATCGTATGACGGCACATTTTACCGAGATTTTGCTGCATGATTGCTTTCCTCCGGTACGAAGGGCCCAACAAACCTTAAAGAAAAGAAGGTCTGCCATTGCGGTCGCTTCTTGCTGGCCGCATTGCCATTTGACGCATTGCTCCTGGCCATACCCGCTTCAGTCCCTGTCAACATGAGACATTCTCCTCCGGAATACTTGTTCGTTGTGAGGTAAGTCGGACAGGTGCCCCCCAGCCCCGACCCGCCACCATCAACACACCTCCTGCTAACATGTGAATGCCATTTAGACATGGAAGCCGACTAGACGCTGCCGACAAGTCATGGCATTTAACATCTCCGACCCCTTACGATCCCCCTCTGACCTACGGCGGCTTCCTCCAAGCTCGACGAGTTGGCAACCAAATAGCAAGCATACTCGAGCAAGCCAAAGCCGACGACGAAACGCGCCATACTTCAAATGGCTCCAGAAAGCGGAAGCGCTTCAAGGTTGTCATACACAGTTCCCCCTTCCTACGATGTGTTCAAACCTCCATTGGCATCAGCTCTGGACTTACCCAATTCCTACCCGATTCCATGTATAATCCGGCCGACTTTATTTTCCCACGAGCCGTACCACATACCGAGCCTCAATTTCAGTTCAAGTCTACTCTCCTGCGGCTTGATTCCTTCTTGGGAGAATGGCTGTCACCAGAGTACTTCGAGATGATCACACCCCCGCCAGGCCCTGCTCTCATGCTAGGTGGCGCAAAGGCCGAACTGCTGAGGCGGGAAGATTACAGCATTTACGACCTCGTTCCCGAATCGGAGGCTCCGCGGCCTTCTTCTGGATCTTTATGGCAATCACCAACATTAAGTCCGGCACAGACTCCGAGATCTCCCTCAACTGATAGTGAAGAGTCAATAAATATGTCAGCACTAGGAGCCGCTCTTCCTACACGACCAGATGTGAAAAGAGGATATATCCCCCCACGGCCTATCTATGCCTCGTCAAGTTCCGGGAGTATTCCAGAGGGCTTCGTTGCTCATGCAAGAGATGCCTCTGTAACCGTAGACTATCAATGGGACTCAATGAGGGCACCCCTCGACTTTGGCGACGGAGGCAAATTTGGGGAGGAGTGGGCATCTATGCATAAGCGGTTCCGGGGAGGCGTAAGAAAACTGGTCAACTGGTATGCCTCGACGGAGTCTCCAGCAGACTTGGTCCCGACGAAGTCCGCCGAGGACGACGACAGCGGCGCAGAGCATGAATCTGACGACGATGTAGAAACAGTTGTGATTATGGTCTCTCATGGTGCTGGATGCAATGCTCTGATCGGCGCAATTACTCACCAACCGGTGCTAATGGACATTGGCATCGCATCCATTACCATGGCTTCTCGGAAGCAAAATTTGGATTACAAGGAACTGCTGGCTTCAACGCCTCCACCATCCGATTCCTCCAAGAAAACCTTAGTAGCAGTTGACAAGATGTATGATATTCGACTGTCAGCAAGCACGGAGCACTTGCGGCGGTCCAGCCCCTCAACGCCGATTTCCGCGAGATCCAACCTCATGACCAACATTTGGAACACAAACCATGGCTCGCGAGGCCGGACCTCAACCCTGTCAAGCATAGGTGGCCCAGTCATGAGCCCGTTCACATATTCAGATCCCTTCTCCTCCACTGGTAGTCGCAGCACCTCAGCCAGCGCCGCTTTGCCTCCAATAGTTCGACGGGCTTCTCAGCGACCGTTGCCAAGAGGTCCCGCTCTCGCCTCGGTGGGATTTGGCCACGCAGTTGGGTCTTCAAACATGGGCAATAGATCGCCGCCCGCAACATCGTCAGGATTTGGCCTCTGGTCGGCTGGCCCGCCGTCAGCTGGACCCTCGTCATTGCGACTCATGGACGACGGAAACGATGATGTAGATGACTTTGGCTCCATACTACCAGACTTTGACCAGAAGCGATTCAAGATGAGCTCTCCGACAAAGGTAGAAAGGGAATCAGATCTCTCGGCGGAGTCGACTTCATCATCAGTGATAACAGACGACGCACCCACGTTTCCCGAGTTTCCACCAACGAGAGCGGACAAGGTCCAAGACACCCCGACACCACCCATGTTCGCCGGTCCCATTAAGCTGCATACAAATCTGGGGCCCGATAAACCTGTAGAGGAAGTGAAGGTGAGGCAGCTTGGAGCAGGGCTCGGCGGTCTCTGGGGCATTCCTCCGCCACCAGACGAGGCAGAGCGGTTTCGGGATATGAGCCACACCAAGCGCCGATGGACGGTTAATGAACGAGCCTAGGCTGACGCAGATTCATGAATGTTTTTATCTCCTTGTCTATTTCTCTGTGTAATGTATTAGGCCTAGAGTGGACGGTAATATCCTGAGCGTTTTTTTTTTTCTTTTTCTTTTTTGGTGTGACGATGGAGCGGGAATCGTGGCATTGAACTTTTCGCATGGCGTGGGCGTTTTAGGGGCACCATAGTGCCAGGTAATAAAAAGCATTGTATGAGTCAAGATGCAGTTGCTCTCGAGCCTCGATTCGCCCGTGATTTTCTAGCTGTGATGGATGAGGCATGAGTAACTATGGAATGCACCATGGGGAGAAAAGCATGACAGATGGGCGCGTCACATTCCAAGGGCGTCAGCATCTCTCAGTGGTGACGAGCATGGGGGTTCGTGGCTGAGCGGAAATTTAACAGTAAAAGTACCTGCAACAACTAAGAATACATAAACCCGATGAACCGGCCAGCATAACGAAGCCAATTGGTTTATAATTCCCCGCGGACTCGTTGGCCCCCGAGTTCGTACCAGCAGTACTGTGAGGCGCATGACAGAGGAGACCTTTTTGAACGTGCCCGTTTTCCGGGTTTCAATCAATGTCGGTGCAACAGCCAGCAGGTCTGCAGCACCGGTGAAAACGTGTCGATTTACCTATGAGAAACAGACTCCCATTGTTCTAAAGCAACTCCATTTGCGTACATGCAGTCTATATACAGTATTCCGAAAAAAAAAAAAAAAGCCCGGCAGCTATGCGACGGGGTATCCCTCATCCTCAACGTCACAAGCCATCTGTACCCTCGAATCGACAACGGTGGCTGTACACGAGCCTTGAAACAGCGTAGCAAGCAAGCATCCGCTACTGTCTTCTTTCCTTCCCACAAGTTATACGTAGCTCAAGACCGTTGGCTCGCCATTGTCTCGACGGTTGTCTTGATTATATCCTATATGTTGTGCAGCTTGGCCTCTTCTCTACCGCCAAGTCGAAACAAGTTTCTCTACAACGCTCTCTTTTTTTAAAGTGCCATTGAATGTCGTCTGAAGGCCCCCCCATATTTAGTCAAAAGCCTTCCTCATGGCCTGGTGAGCCAGCTCCACGCCCAAGAAGGTAGCAGCATTCGCAGGCACAGCACGCGCAAGAGCAGGTCCGAAGCCCGGGAAGAAGGCCTTGAAGCCGCCCTTGCCGTACAGCTCACGGATGACGCCGCCGAGCGTGACATTGCCCTCCGCCGTCTGCAGTCGAGACTTGACCGTGTCGACGGGGAAGACGGGGATCCACATGGCGACGCCGGCGGCGGCACCGGCGCAGGTGATGGCCGTCAGGCTCAGCTCGCCCGTGGGCCTGCCGGTGAGGGCGTCCTTGGGGCTCAGCGCGCGCTTGATGTACTCGTAGGCGGCGAAGTAGGCGGCGGACCCGGGCCCGTCGCGGGCGAGAGTGGCGGCGCTGCCCCGGAAGACGCTGCGGACGCCGCCCTCGCGGTACAGCTGGCGGACGACGTCGAGGCCGCCGTTGTACTTGGGCTTCTCGCCGGGCGCGAGCTGCTTCTGGCCCTGGACCTGGAGGATGACCTTGACGCGCTCAAAGGGCGCGGTGATGGCCGTCATGGGCACGGCGGACAGGAAGCCGGCCGTCGATATTTGGCCGATGGACAGGCCGTCGGGCCCGACGGTGGACGTGGCCGAGACGATTTGCTTGCCGAGGTCGTATCCCCAAAAGGAGACGGCAACTATTTGCGGGAAAAAAAAGAATTAGTTTTCTTTTTTTGTCCTTTTTCTGCTGGCAAGGAGCAGCCAAGAAAGAAAAATTAACTTACACATGGGCGTGACGCCCACGAGCGGTGCGCTCACACCGGCGTACAGCCCTCTCCTCAGGCCGTCCCGCGCAACGCTCTTCCGTGCCCCGGCCCCGTCTCGGGCGGGAGTGGCGGCGCTGCCCCGGAAGACGCTGCGGACGCCGCCCTCGCGGTACAGCTGGCGGACGACGTCGAGGCCGCCGTTGTACTTGGGCTTCTCGCCGGGCGCGAGCTGCTTCTGGCCCTGGACCTGGAGGATGACCTTGACGCGCTCAAAGGGCGCGGTGATGGCCGTCATGGGCACGGCGGACAGGAAGCCGGCCGTCGATATTTGGCCGATGGACAGGCCGTCGGGCCCGACGGTGGACGTGGCCGAGACGATTTGCTTGCCGAGGTCGTATCCCCAAAAGGAGACGGCAACTATTTGCGGGAAAAAAAAGAATTAGTTTTCTTTTTTTGTCCTTTTTCTGCTGGCAAGGAGCAGCCAAGAAAGAAAAATTAACTTACACATGGGCGTGACGCCCACGAGCGGTGCGCTCACACCGGCGTACAGCCCTCTCCTCAGGCCGTCCCGCGCAACGCTCTTCCTCACGACGTCGACAGCCGACGAATACACGCCGCGCTCGGCCGTCTGCAGCCGCACCTTGACCAGGTCGAATGGGTGGCCGACGACGACGGCGCAAATGCCGCCAAAGCCGCCGGCGGCCAGGGCGCGCAGCTGCGATAACAGCCCCGACTTGGCGGCCTCCTTGGTTTCTTGGAGCTCCTCCTTTGTCTCTGGCAGGCGGGGAAGCTTGTCGGCCACGGGGGCGGGCAAGTTCTCGGCGGCGGAGGGCATTCTGTCTGATGGGGGTGGAAGGATGGCGGCGTCGAGCGGTGAAGGAGAGAAGGGGGGGAAAAAGCAAAGGAAATGGGCTTTGTGCGCGAGAGAAGCGAGGGGGAAAAAAAGGCAGTTGTGCACAAGCGGGAAAGAGCGTCTGGGTAAGGTGATTTGCGGTTCCGTCACTTCGGCCTCTGGGGTTGTTGTGGGCGCTCGGTGGCGGCGCAAAATGCAACCAGGCCGGAACGTCTGTAACAATGACGAATGCAACAATGGATTTTCCCGGCAAGTGAAGGGTTTTACAATCGCATGCTGCAAGGCGAAAAAAAAAATGATAGAACAATGAAAAGTAGGAGAATTGACAAGTTGCGTGTCCACCCGAAGCCAAAGGGGCTGGTGTTTCGTGGCAACACACCGTTGACCTCTTTTGCAACCACGACGTCAAATGGCTCGCCACGTCGGCGCTTTACCGCTTCGGCGCGATACGGAATCCCACGTCTGCTTCCAGCTGCGTGGTTGACGCCCATCAACACATTTTACATGTCCGAATGTCTTGACTGCGCATTCTGCGTCTTCGCGCTCCCGCCTGGACATGGTGGACATGCGCGCCCCAAGCGGCCTCAGACTCCTCTGTAAAGCCCGCAGATATGCTCCTCGCGGCAACTCCATCTCCATCTCCATCTTTGCCTCGGCCTCGGCTGTCTGTAGGTGGGGAGGGTTCAGCTTCTCGGGTCCCCCGTACCGCATGGCCGGCTGCGGACGGGGGGAATCGCAAAACCCCGTCTGCTCCGTTTTGCATGCGCCCAATCAGAGCACGTTGCCCGCCAGCCTCGCAGCCGCCTCGCATCTCCAGAAAGCTTGGCTGGCGAGCGTACAGGTAGCATCATGGCTTGCATCCTGCTCTTCTTTTCCCTTGGCGCAAAGAATAATCTGCTTCTAGAAGCTCTGGCTCCTTTTTTGACGGTGCCGCTTGAGGGGCCAGCTCCAGATTTGTCTTGTGTCAAGCGCCTCTCTGCCCCACGATTTTGATTCAACATCGCCTTTGCCACACCTTCACCCCACACCCCGGAATTTTGGAGCATTCACATGTGATAGTACCACTAACAGCCTTCAGGCCGGCCCCATCTCCGAATGAAGTATGTATGCTGAGTATTACACGGGCACATATAATGGCCAAGCATATTCCTTCTATATTTTCACTCATTGCGAGTGCCACTGCAGCTTGCACAGAACACTTTGCAGCTATCCTAGATATGTTTTGCTGTCTGATATTTACTTTACATGGCTAATCTGATACAGTTTTGCCAAAGAGCGTCAAACGCGAAAAGACACTATATGGAGTATCTATATAAAACAACCAATAAAAACGCCACGACTCCAGTCGTCGCCAAACCGTGTATGCTCTCAGTATTCATAAGAACCGTTAACTTGTACCCAACACGACGGGCAGATGCCAGTCCTATGCCGTGATTGTACGCAAAAAAAGAAGAAGAAAAGTAGATGCTGTTGGCGTCATTTATACATTGTCCGCCAACGGCAACATGGGAAGCCTGGCTGGTCCAGTTGGTAGAGAACCTGACAGTGGCATGAACTGCCTAGAGTCGGCAACAGTTGCCTCAGCAGACGCCCAGCTACCACGCATGTGCTTTCTCTAAAGCATCTTCGGAGCAGACGGCGGTGCGACGGAGCCACGTCCTCTTGTGCACCAGCAGGCATTGTCACCTTCCCGTTCCACTTGTACCATTGCCTCGACCCCCTGGCTCTTTAGGAAGTCACGCACTCTGTCCCGCGCCTCGTCCATCCCGTACCCGCGTGCCACAATAACATGCACAACGCCGACAAGCTTCTCGCCGTCCTCGCTTCCAGTTCGGTCATCCAACCAGAATCTGGGAGCCCAGTAGTTTACCACTCCGCGCTGCTCCAGGATTCCGCCAAGAGTATTGCGCAGGTTATACTCAGTAGCCTCGGGGACACTGAGAAGTAGGCGCTTAGCTGAGGAGATAACAAGCGGCTTGGAGGACAAGAAGATGAGAACAGCGATGAAACATGACGCCAAGGGGTCCCAGCCCGCCCATCCCCAAAAGCTGGTCAGTGCTGTCGAGACAATAACCGAGACGCTGCCTAATGTGTCGGCCAGAACGTGCAGGTAGATGCCGTGCATGTTTTCGTTGTCATGCGAATGGTCATGACCATGATCGCTGCCGCAGCCATGTGGATGATGGTGTTTGTGATTGTCGTCATTATGGAAATGGTCGTGTTCGTGACCGTGACTGTGGCCATGACTGTGGCCGTGATGATGGTGGTGGCCGAATGCCATCATGCCAACCAAATTGACAGCAAGACCTAAGCTGCTCACAACAAATAATTCACCAAGTCGCTTCGTCTTCGTGCCTTCCCATAATCGTTCAAACGCTTCAAAAGCAATCTCAACGCTCAATAGCCTGAATATACATGTCAACAATCTGCAGCCGACCAAGGAAGCCAAAGGCCTTGCTTACATCAAAAGAATACCGTTGGCAAAGCCTGATAGAGTCTCGATCTTGCCAAACCCATATGGAAATTTTTGGCTCGGAGGCCATTTGCTCATGACAGCCGCCAGCAAGCCTACCATGAGTGCCACGCAGTCAAAGAACATGTGTATACTGTCGCTGAGAAGCCCCAGCGAATCGGTGACGTAGCCGTAAAATGCTTGGACAGTCATAAACCCAAAGTTCAATCTGAATTATTATGTTAGCGGGATCTCATGCTATATCGGCGCAAGAACCATGACTAACACCATGAAGTAAAATATTCTCCGCGAGTCCTTCTCAACAAGAATGGCATGCAAAATGGGAAACCGAGCTGTATATTTTAACAATGTCCTTGTAAACAGGGATCTTGGCGCTTTGCCAGGGTCGGATCGATGCTCGTCGATGTGGGCACGGTCATGTTTGTGTCCGACCTCATGACTGTGGCAGTGATCGAGGCTATGACCGTGGTGGTGCGAGTGATGGCTATGACTGTGGCCGTGTTGGATTGGAGGCGAGTATGGTGTTGTGGCGGCGTCGGGCCCAGGCGTCAGAATACTCTTGCCACCAGCTGTCGTCTCTTTCGTCCAGCCGTCTAGGGAATTTAACGAAGCCGGTGGTGGCTTCTCTCGATGTAATGCTGCGCTGGTATTGGAAGAGCGGAGTGCTTGGCGAGCATGTGAGGGCTGTCTCGAGGTCGAATGTGGTTGCCCATGGTCGTGGTCGTGGCCATCGTCGGCGAGGGATTGGGGGAGAGATCCGGTCGACATTGATGCTCGCCAGGCATTTAGAGACGATTGAGACTGATTGTGAGTGTGATGAGTGTGGCTGTGAGCGTGAGAATGCATGTGTTGCTGGTGTGCATGAGGGAGCGCAGAGGAGGGCAAAGTATATGGCGATGCCATTGTCAACAAATGTCTCGAAGATTTCTGTCGCACGTCAAAGTGGACGGTGGTTACGACGGGAGACACTCAAGGCTCCCTGGAGCTCAATCGCACTGTCATGAGTTGACAATTCGACGCAGGCTTCGAAAAGCACAAAGAATGGCAGGGTGGGCGTCGACAACAAATTCAAGGATGGAGACACGTCGCCGTGCTCCTTTGCGTTGATAAGCGAGCGACTGGGTGAAAAGGAGAGACAGGTCGCGGAGGTGGTCCAAGGCAATGCAAGGCACGTGGAGCTGGGCAGCCAATGGGTGGGGGAATGATTTGACTTTGGGTGGGTGCGGATAACGAAAGTTAAAATGTCAACATTTGAAGTCGGTCCTGCAACCAGGCAATTTGGGGCTTTGTATGATGTGCAGATGGTTGTCCACTCAAGCGCGAATGGATCAAATGATGGCTCTATGTGCTTGGTATGGACGTCCAGAATAAGAGGGCAAGGACTGACAGCGAGCAAAATAAACGAGAAGATGTGTCTGGACGAAGCACGCATGATTGGGGGGGAGGGGCGGGCCAACCCATGTCGGCGCGAGTGACGAGATAGGCGCAGCCTAGCTCGGACGGACCTGCCTCGTCAGTGTTTTCCCCGCCTCCCAATTAAATTACAGTATTCAACCGACATCAAAAACCTTGGCATGTGCTGTCCAGGGCCGCATTCTAGGTTAGGTTGCCTTGTGCCTCCTGTGCCTGGCTTGTGCTGAGTGCCCGCGTTGTCGTGGCCAATTGTCACCGTTGCACCTGCAGTATATTGTACCAGACATAATATGTATTGTACGAAGTTGTTTGCTTGGCTTGGCCCCTGCAATGCTGTACGAGTGGAGAGTTTTGTCTTTTTACTTTTAAATTGAGGGCTGGATCACTATGCGCTCGTACTTTTGCAATGACGAAACTTGCAGCCAGGAGGGTCTTGTGAGGAAACTGTGGCCCACGCACCTTCTTGCCTTGGATGTGTCCAATTCTTCAACAACTTCAAGTCAATGTGGACAACGGGGGAGCTTGTTTGAGTAACATTTAACTCGTCTATGTCACTTACGAACAACTTATTCCAGGTGCTCTGGACCTGCAATGCTGAGAAAGGATCGCCTGACATGAAAGCAGGAAATGGCTCCCGCTGGCATTGTCGTTCACGAGTCAAGATGTGGCTGTTTGCGAAACCCCTTCCATCCGATCAGACTCGCGAGTACCTTTGCTAGCAATCTCTCCGGTTGAGTTTCATCAAACGCATACAATTATGCCTTAGACCACAGGGCTGCCTACTTAGGCACCGGAGCGAGTCGCCAATCTGTAACTCAATCTTGCCAAGCAGCTATGCGTGGTTCTTGGGTAGTCGCAAAACGGCCAGCAAAGTCATGACTAGACAAGGAGAGTCATTTTTACCAGCACTTTAATCATCGTGTTCCTGGTCGCGTCGGCCGATGATATCAATGCGGGCAATGCAACGAGCCGCAATCAATGCATAATGTCTGTTGCTTGCTGGGACTATGCAGTCCTCTCTCAACCGCAGTTTTCGAACAGCAGAGGATGAGCTCCCAGTAACTGTCAGTGGCTGGATCAGCACATGGTGGGCATCTTGATACGTTTTTTGTTATGAACAGCAGCTCAGAAGGGATAATTCCATGTCTTGCAAATGTAAGCCCGAGCTTGCCAGAGCGAGACCATCTGAATGCAAGAAGCATCACAAGTACTGCCTACTCAATAGTGCAATAGCTTCACAGTATGGTACATGCTTATCGCGGACGGGGCCTGGATTGTGAATTTCAAAGGATTCTAACAGACTGAGATTCGCGATCGCGACAAGATGCTCGCAAACCCAGCAAGATGCATTTACTACCGCAGCCACCAGCCTGACCAAGCATAACTGCCGGTCCAACAGTAGGAAACTACAACGCCACCCCCAGACAGCTTATCTATATCCAAAAATACATCTTGTGCTGAATAAACCTGTTTAAAGGGTTCTTCCACCGGCGACATGATGGTGAAAGTCGGTTGAAAGGCCGGGACAATCGGACCCATCGGGGTGTGAAAAAGTGCGCGGACTCGGGAATCTAAAGTCCGTCCATGCCACCCAACGTTCCCAGTAATTCCATCTGGGCTGGATGGGCTTGTAACCAAAAATAAAAAGGATGTGTGCCAAGCTCATCATTGCAATTTACTCCCCGGACAGGTATCACGGAAACACAAGCCATGGGACGGCAGTGGCGTCAACGCCCGATCGCATGCCAGTCATGCCGGCGACGCAAGATACGATGCTCTCGCCAGTTTCCATGCTCCAACTGCACGTCCAGGGGACTGCAGTGTGTGCAGTTCTACGAGCCTCTTGAGCCGACGCCCGAGGTGAAGGACAAGGGCGAGCCAAGGTCGGCAAATGTCTCCAATGCCGACATTCGGGCCCGGCTAGACAGGTTGGAGACTTGGATTACCGGCCTTTCTGATCCCCGTCTGGGTTCCACGCCCTCGGCCGAAAAGACTGATGATGATGCGCGTCCGTCATCGGCTACTGTGCAGCATTTGTCCGAGGATGCCCTGTGGTTTGGGGGCCATTTCCTCTGCAAGACGGCCAAGTGTATCCCACCTGTAAGACCCAAGATCAAGTTACCTTGTTTTCTAAGACTTGAGCTGAGAATATGACCCTGTGTTTAGCAAACGAGTTTCTTAGATGTGTGTGTGACATATCAGCTTTCGCCGATAAGACTCATCAAGAAACCGTACTCTATTATACAAGATGCGACCTCGGCATTCGCATCGCTTGCAACAGGGGGGCGGGAGATGTGTCTCACCCTGCCTTTATACCAAGAAGCTTGCATCATCTTGCACACCTTTATTGAAGAGTGCGCAGTATTGTGCCCCATGTTCCATGTCCCCTCGGCACTGCTCTCCATGCAAAGCATATACACCAATATACAGCAGCAGACGCCGGTAGACAAGTCAGACTTACTCCTGTTCTTAGCCATTATCGCTTCAGTGACATATGCCTCTTCCCCCGAAGGCGACGTTTGCAGGCTCTTTGCAAGTCATTTGGAAGCGAATACACAGTGCGCATCGTGGGTGGCGGCCTCTTATGCGCTGTCTGACGAGATCAAGAGGCGTGGCCAAGGAAGCATAGTCTGTCTTCAGGGACAGAACATCCTGTGCAAAGTCTCTACCTATATAGAAGGAAGCTCAGTGCGAGCCCGGAGCTTGATATCTACGTCTGTAGCCATGGCTCGCGACCTGGGGTTCCACCGCATAGATCACCCTGGAAATAAACCCGGCAGTCTTGATACAGACTCGGAAATGGACATGGAGATTGGGAGACGATTATGGTGGGACCTTGTTGCCATAGATTGGTACGTCGAATTCGTATCCTGCCACATGGCGTTTCAACAGCTAGGAATTAATACGCAGGCATATATGGTACTAGGTTGCTCGCATTATTCCCTGGCGCCCACGAGGGCGTATACACCATCCACCCTCAACACATGGCCGTCAACAAACCCAGAATCATCAGAGACGGCAACGACGGCACTCCGTCCCTTCAAGAACGTGAACAGCAAAGCGACGTGTCCTACTTCCTGGAGCGTATTCGCCTGACGGAAATCAGCCGCCAGTATATTGACCGCTGCCCGCTCTCCGAGTCCCAGACAGACGCAGACTACCAAAAAGTGCTACAGCACGATGCCCGCCTTGAGCAATATCAGCGAGAACTGCCGCCGTTCTTCTCCGTCAACAGACTGTCCACCCCTGCGACACACGAAAAGCAAACTCTGGTCGTCCACCGCATCCAAATAAACTGCATGGTCTACATCTTGCGCTGCTTCCTCCACCTCCAGTACTTGTCCCTCTCCATCATCGATCCCAAGTACGCGCCATCTCGCACAGCGTGCCTCAGCTCCGCCAGCGAGATCGTCCGCTTACACAGGGATGTCAAGTCCCAGTACTCCTGGATCATGCCGCGCCTCAAAGCGACCAACTTCCTGAGGTCCTTGATCATGGCAAGCGCGGTGTTCCTGCTGGATGTCTGTTCGGGCACCGAGATTCGCGATTTCGAGAGGGAAAGGTCGGACATGCTTGATGCGTGGAGGCTAATGAGCGATCAGCAGGAGGATTCGAATGTCATTGAGCTATTTTTCGAGTTTGCGAGCCAGATGTTGAGGAAGTACGGCGTCTCGGAGGCCATTGTGGCGGCCTTGGTAGCTCAACGGCGCGGGAACCTAGAGACTGCACGGCACGTCCTCGAGCCAACGCAGCATCTCGAGCAGGCGGACCTGGACGGGGGAAACAAACAGATGGGCGTTGAGATGGTGGACATGGATCAGCGGTGGCAGACGCTCGATGCGGATTTTGATTTAAAGACTATGAGTTGGGATAATGTGCTGTGGGGGTTTGACGCAATTCTCATGTAGCAGGGGCGTCTCTCACATCTAAGGGATACCGTTACGTCGCACGCACCTCTCAGAATTTGGACGCAAAAGTCGTAGCGTCTTGTGGGCAATATGCCGAGCCCCTTGACGACTTACATGATGGGGAATCGCCGCCTCCCGCCAACAGGCATCACCCCAGACTTATGAACTTCAACCCCCCACTCCGGCTCCGGCTCCGGACCGTCAACAAACTCCAACTTGGAACCTCATGCCGCTTACGGCACTCCTCACCACACCCCCCAAAACAAAGCAGTCGGCCACAATGTCCACATTCGCAGATGACAAAGCACCAATATGCATCCCCTTCATCACGCAGCTCCTCCAAGACCACCAGGCCAAATCCCCGGACCGCCCGCTCATCATCGGCCTCAACGGCATGCAGGGAGTCGGCAAGACAACTCTAGTCGCGCCGCTGGCCGCCTCCCTCAA